AGAGACTCTTCAGTACATTCAGTCGGTTACCATTCTCTTCTTTATAACATACATAACGTTCTTTTATTATTTCTCTTTCCATTAATATACTTTTCATTAGGGAACTCACAATAAAACCAGGAACCCTCTTTCAGTCGAAGTAGATTGAAGATGTTTTATGGTCAGCCATTGTTTCAGTAACTGTGACACTAATACTTGAATATCAACTCTATTTGAAAGTTTGTATATATTATATAACATTATTTTAAATAGTATGTATTGTGATTAACTTTGTAACTTTGTTTTGAAGGTGATTATGTACCTCATAATCGGAAAACTTAAATATTATGTAATTAGATCTGAATTTTGAAAAAATGTCTTATATTTATTATTCTTAATATTTAATTTTAAATTATTGTTATAAACACATGTTCTGTCTCATCATATAACATTCATATAATTTTTAATTTATCATGATGGTGCTAACCGCTACGGTTTTTGCGATTTATCCTTCAAACCTTAATGAAGGACTGCTTATCTTAGTTTTATAATTTTCGCACAAATATGGATGTTATATTATATAGAGAAAAATATATAAAGAAGCTCTGTGTGGTGCCCCTTTTTGATTACAGATGTTCTAAATATTTTTTTTTATTTCCGTCTCTTTAGTGTAATTGATCGCTTATGTTTTGCTGTTTCCTAGTCTCTTATCTTCACAAAATTGCGGCTCATTCTTTACTGGATCAACAGCACCCCTTCGCCGTTCTCAAGACGCAACGCTGAGCTTTAGATTGGGCTAATGGGATGCACTAGGGATGCACTATCGACACAAAATATCGATGTTTCTAATCATCGATGCTAAAAAATAAAACATTCGACTGAAACTGTCGAAGTTATTAGATATCGATGTTTTTAACACTGGATAAGCAACTCTTGAAGATCACGTGGCGGAAGTGGGATTTAATTTCAAAGTGGTAACGTTTATTAATTTTTGATTGAGATGTATCTGGCAAAACAAAGTCAAAATCATCAGGGTATTTAAAAAAACTTTGATTTTCTTATTCGGTAATTTAAAAATAATATAGGATTTTTTTATTGTGCCCATGAATAAAACGTAATGTTTTTTCCTATTTGGCATTTTTTTCTACTTTCCTTCTTTCTGCTCTCTCCTCTCTCTGACCCTCTCCATCTTTTGTGACCCTTCCTCGACCCCTCATCCTCTCCCGTCTCTCTTCCCTTGCCTCCCGGACTATCTCCCCCTTCGCACTCCCTCTCTAATCTCTTTCTCGTATTCTCTCTTCTTTTTTCTCTTTTCCTCTCCCTCTCCCTCTCCCTTTCCATCTCTTTAACTCTCTGAAATACTCTGAGTCCATATGTTTACGCGAATCCTCTATCGCATCATGGACCCTTTCCCATTTTCTATTTCTCCCTCCCTATTACACTTCCTTCCTCACTTCCGACAATTTCTTTCCTTTCTCTGTTTTGTTCTTTGCTGATGAAACTCCCTCCCACTCCCCTCTCTCGCCCCCTCCTTCGCTTCTTTCATCTGCCCTCTCTTTCTTCTTCCCCGTCTTTCCCTCTCCCCCTCCGTATGTGTGACGTATTCCTGCCAACACGAAGGTTTACGTTCCTCCGTCAGCCTCTCGTATCTTCTCCTCTCCCTCTTCCCTCTCCTTTCATCACACCCGCCTGCCCTTTTGCCTGCGACGTCCGCCGCATCAACATTCATCTCTGCCGCCGGCCACTTCCCTCGCTGCTGCTCGTGGAGCTGCCAGGGCGATTCCCACCCGCGCCCGTCGTCGCGTTGCGCGATATCCGCGCACACCCTGCCGCCCCGCCTCTTCTCGAAGAGACGTCCTCTTGCAATCCTGAGGTTCCGGGGAGGATGGATGCTTCAAAAAGAATAAAATGAGGAGCCATCCATTTTTCCATTGATTTTATTTGTGATAGGTAATTTATTCACTGCGCTCATTTTGTATTTTAATATATAAACAGTTCGGAAATAATACACATAAACATTATTTCAAGAACATTTCTACTAGAATTGCTTTCTCTACTAAATTTGGTCTTCGTTTCAGCGTTCAAAATTAAACTTTAAATACGTAATTTTTTAATGGCATTGAAAAAAACTAACACATTATTTCACAGAACATTTATACTTATTTTTAAAATGTTCAATCCTGGCCGATCGCAGGGGGTGAGATAGATCTGAAGTTTTAAGTCATCCTTGCCTTAAAGAAATATCGTATTTACACTAATATAAATCGTCTCTTATAAGAATATTATAAGACAATCTTTTAATTTTGAAGAGGCCACCTGAATTTATTTTCAACTTATAACACATTCTTATTGTTTAATAAAAATTAAAATCAATTTTTTATGAAAGTATAAAACCATGGCATTGTTTGAGCTATCACTATTTCCTATTCCTTAGTACCATTCTAAACATTGTTATGATCACTACCATCTTCATTTTGATATTATTATTATTATTATTATTATTATTATTATTATTATTATTATTATTATTATTATTATAATTATTAGGGAACTTATTTATATTATTAGGTGGTTTAAGCATTTTAATTATGTCATTTCGGTTTCATGAAATGAGGGAAATGATTATTCAATTTTTTCAAATTTTAAACCTTTATAAATTACTACGTACAAATTGACTGTAACGTGTAAATTGAATGGTTATGACTGTAAATATTTTAAACTGTTCTTTTATTTAAGAAAATAGTCTCATTCTTAAACATTTTCTGGAGTCTCTGTTGTAGCTGCACAAAGAAGGAGCGTGTTTGTTCTACAGAAAGGGTCTGGACCCCTTAAAGGCAAAGGTTTTCTTTGCGCATATATTCACTCAACAGTGGGAAACGAGGCGAGGCTGTGGCCGCTATTTCTGTTCCAGTCTTTTAAAAAGTCTGGAGAATACTTTAGTCACAAAGGAAGCAATAGCTAAAAAGAAAATATGTAGTCGTGTAGTCGTAATAGTTTATCACAGATTTGAATGGAAACTAGTGAATGAGAGGTATAAAAATGAAAAAAACGTATATATGTTTTCTTTGTCGCCATTCTGAGCAACTGCAGTAAAACTCTAAATCTAAATATTTTCTGCAGTTGCTTCTTTAGAAATACTTCATATTTTGAGGTAAATTCCAAAACTTTCTGATCCAGTTTATTGAAAACACAAGACAAAGTTATACTGTACTTTTTACGGGGATTGAGATTGCCCAAATAGAAGTAATTAAAATATTTTTTTTTAATTTGCATAATTTCCTTTTCACAACAATACTTTTGCAGGTACGACGTACATATCAGAAATTCAGAATTAGAAAACTATTTTATATTTTAAATAAAAATATAACCAGATATTAAAATACACCAACTGCGGAAATTAAAAAAATATTGCTTGATGCATGTGTTGGACGATGAGAGGCAATTGTGAGTGACAAACTGTTAAGTAGGTAGTGCTCAAAGTAGTTCGTAAGGAATGACCTCCTGACCCTTCACTAGGTACGATCATGCTTCAAGCATCATTATATTTCTAAAGTAACTATTAGAGCCGTTATATATCTAAGTCAGTCTCTCTTACGTCGAATGCAGTTGTTTCAATAAACGTACATTACTTTGCTATTCTATTTGTCTCACACTACATTTTAATTTTGCTATTCTCCTTTATTTCGGGATGTAACAAATGTATTGAGTATATTTTTTGATTCATGAAATGTTCAACAAACATCGTGAATGCTCAGGCTCAATTAGTGCGTGGAAGACGGGCATTAGGAGACGCATAGCGGGGACACGCAGCGCAAATGTAACTGAGACGCGTGCGGTAATTAGCAGGTGCGGAAGCAATTTGCCGCCTGCACTCCCGCGCGGGAGCCTGACCTGAGCCTGAGCCGGCGGGGCGG